AGACGCGCACTGCTGATGATTCCCAATAAGGATGAGACAGCTGTACAGTGCTTCTCGGCTTTTCAGCATACATTGGCTTCACTTACAGGACGAAATCTCCAAACAAAAAACATTGGGTCATTTTCAACATCTCCCAATGTGGAATCTTAAATTACTCGAGACATAGTTTACTACCTTTTGTGTTGAGCTAAGGTCAAGCAAATGTCAGATATATATTTGTAGGATTTCTGCATGAACCGATCAATACTCATGCATTTTCAAGTGCTACGTCCGTTGAACACAATGGGGGCACTTGTGAGATCTTAAATATTACGAGGACCGCAGTTGTGTTTTAACCCAGACGTAACAAAAGAATTTCTTTTGAAGCTTCCTTAAGCAATAACGGATATCTGGTAAAGATGTTAGGGATAACAGACAAAAAATCAGTATAGGAAACAGGAGTTTATCGACATAGCCTTGCAAGCACAGTCTGTATGTTATTTTCACAGGTTTAATGCTCCCTTGTTTCTTTAGAAACCTTTGTTCCCCGCTTCTTTCTTCAGCCTATCAGCAACATTTAGCCTTAGTGTTATTTTGATCATTTGACTTAACTGCCAGCGACCTGCAGTTATCCTCTCGAGCAAGGCACTTTACTATATTAAGATTCCATAGTGACCCAATACTCTTTACCTTTTACAAAAACTGATTTAACTACAAAGGTATCTTGTTAAGACGCTTTCAGTCTCATGTTTCCTCCCCTCAGTCTACCTAAAAACTTTACTTAATTCCACGTGTATTTCCTCAGTATGCCCACCAGCTGTGTTTCGACAACATTCGAGTTCAGAATTATCCGTCTCTCACATTACCTAACTGCCTTACATCCGGAGACCTTAAGCTCACAAAGATATTGGCACCGATTTCATGTCTCAGTGCGTTTATTTAAGTGAACAATGTGGAAGACGTTAAACGTATGAAGATGAAGCTACTTAAACTAGATCAAAACAAACAACTTAATCTAGCAACATGTTTACCTCGAAAACTCTCAGTGGGTCATCTGTATATGAAGACCACTTAGTAATGACAAAGGTAAACTTCCTTGGATGTTATTGAAGAGCCGCAAGCAGGTGTTTGCCTAACAACCGTTGATTTACCGTATCGTTTCAGGCTAATGTGTTCAGAGCATTCGGGTCAGTTTTGGAAATGTTAGATAGCAACCAACACAGAGGTTGCAAGTGTGCTTTTGCATACATGTATAGATGTGCGCCCCATACAAGAGTAGCCCTTTCCATATAGGAGAACCAGTTGACTACAAGCCAATCAGTTTTGCTGACGGAAGAAAACCGTTAAATATACTGTGCAGCGTCAGTGGTTCTTGATTCTTTAGAACAGTGATTTGGAAGTGGCTGGTTTGTGTATTGCATAGGATTACCGACTGTACCACAGACCCTAGCGCGCCTCCATGATTTGTCTTTAGCAAAAGGTGCCCACTGGATGCGACAGCCTGGACTTTAGTTCATGGGGCTCACATAACTTTAAGTGAACTACCAACTACATCATTTTCAGATACAAGCCATGGTTTGTGTCGACTTTCTACGCGCACTGGTGTACTTACATTCCATTCAGTGCTTCAGATTCAAATGAAAATATGCCTAGTGACCGCATCCAGCAATCGAACTTTAAAAAAACGCTTTAGATGAGCTAAGCCAAGATTCACCCTTCTTTTTATTCCCACGAAATTGCGTAACCTTGTATCTTCAAATATTTCCTCACTAAGAGGCAGCTGTGTGCACTAGATATTAGCCGTTTCTCTCACAAGCTTATGCCTATGAAATTTGGATGAGTTCTCCTAACGCTTGGGACTGTTGCTTGACATTAAAAAGGTATGCTGCTTTATTGACATAATCCTTCCTTTTGTGTGTCATGGTAAAATCCGTGATACAAACCGGTCGGCTTGAAAATAGCCCCGGTTGTGCTGTGCCAATTCCTTACTTTATCACTTAACTGCTCACCTTACTGTATGGACGCTGCATAATTCCATCTTTTTTCTTGTTTGCAGATAGAGTTACACTTCGGGTCCGTTTCACTTCATTTGCCGCAAGTTTAGTTCTATATTAAAATTGCATCCCAACGGCACTCCTGAACTGGTGATAAGAAACATCTGGAATAAATGTAAACTAGGATCTAGGTACATTGACAAAATATGATCGAATTATCGCATCAATTCAAAAAACTCATCAATGCAGCATGATGATTTTCGCCAGGTTACCTTCCAAAAGTTCTACGATTATGTCCGTTAACTAATTTTCACAAATTTTATCTGCTGCTTAATGTTCTATTTTTAAAGTAGCCGCATTTAATAACTGTTTATGTTTGCTACTCCTGACCAAAGTCTAAATATTTCTACTCAAGTCGCTTCGAAAATATCGCACCGTAGCTAGCGACCATGCCACCCGATTCTTCAAGCAGTGTAAGCAGCGTTGGTACGAGACTGTTTTCATTTCCTGCGAGTTTATATGCAAAGTCGCAGTCTTGGAAACCAATTTTTATCCTTTGTAATTCAAGGAGCAGGATTACACATGCAGCGAAATGTTTATGTCCAACCGAACAAAGTTCTATTCTAGAGGGCATCCATTTCACTATTCTCCAGGAGGCACTGATTTCTTCAGCTTTTTCATGATGATCGTTTATAGTTGATTATATCATCCGAGAAGACAGCGGTGTTTCAAGGTTTTTTTGTGTCGCAGTCTTGGATGAAGGATGCGCGGATTTCGCCCATTCAGAAATTCTCGTGTTACCGCGCAGCGGAAATGTTTACCATCGCCAAGTCGATATCAATACCAGGAGACAATTGAAGAAAGAAGTTTAATACGGCGTTAGAGACAATAATTAAAATTAATGACAAGCCTTGAAAAGCAATTCTTTTTTAAACGGCCAAGGATATGAAGTACGTAGCGATAATCATCCGGAAGGAACTTACGCAGTCAAAAAGCGATGGCGAAAAAACGGATGATTGTAAACAAGGCGATTGTTAAGGTCACCGAGTTTACGTGGAGAACAATGTGATGACACAGAGAACGGGAACTGAAGGAATAAAGCAGCACGTGTTGTGAGTGTTAGCTGACAACCACGTTCAAAAAAGGATGATTCTTTTTTACAGGTTATAGAAATTGTTTTTGGGTTGCTTTTGCCTTCCTCCCAGGCATTTCGGTATCCCTAGATCGTCAAATGTTTTGTCTTAAAAATTTTGCATTATTTGGGATTCTGGGGCTCCTGCTTTTATCTTATTGGTCAGTCCTGTTTTAACGTTTCCCCTTGTTTTGAGTTTGTTGAGAGGTTTGTTGTTGCCGAATATGTGCTTCACTTCTAGCTGCCTATTCTTTGACTTAATCGTTCGATTTCACAGCGGTGGATCGATTCATTGAAGTTCATGTTCGTTTGTTTCTCTTCGGTTTGCAGGTAAAGTCACAGTCAAGGTTTTTTGTTATACTTTTATTAACCCTACACTTCTACTCCTAACGCATTGCCTGGAAACCATCAGTTTAATGTCTTTATTGTTGATGTTTTTATTACGGTTCTGAGGATTACATTTTATTGCTCATGAAAAATTCCAAGTGATAAGGTCGCTAAACCAATTGGCAGAAGATACTGACGCTACATCTAACGATCCTTTTAGGAAATCTGTTCATGTTGAATTTCAACGACTCGTTGTCTGGCCGCCCAAGCGTTTGATGAAACATGTCAGTTTTTCATTTGCGCGCCATACAGTTGATATTTGAAGTTGTTAGTTGATAATCCTGTGGTTTTCACGGCTTTACATTCATTTTTTCTGATCCACTAAACGGTACTTAGTAAATTCAGACGTTTCAAAATTTCTTAAAGAGTAATGTTTGTCCTACTACAAAACATAATTATACAGGCAATGCCTGTTTGCAAACTTCATTCATTTAACCGGTGGTTATTTAGTATTTATCTAATTTTCCAATTTTCGCTACATCTAAAATATTGTAGACGTACAGCATTGTACAAAACCGGTTAATGTATTACGCATTCCACAAATTTTCTCACGCCAAGCCCTAAAAGATTTGGAGAGCAAAAAGCTTGAACATATTTTTGAAGACGATGAGGTATGTTTTAAAGAGATTTGCATGAAACAATATTATACGGAAATACAGATAAAGCGGCTTTCTCCAGGCGGGAACTTGTGGGGCTACGGCGTTCAACGCAGAATAGTTGAACCATATAGATGACATTTTCCTACTCAGCAGGACTAGTGACTTCAGGTGCCACTCTTGATTGTCATATTACCCCGAAAAATAATTAAGATGACAGCAATGAAAAAGAACAGTATTCTGAAACTAAAAACAATTGCGATTATTCAACTAGAGCTGAATTATCAGCTTCAGCAGGCTGAAGCCCAACTTCAGAAAAAACAGAGAAAAAGGTACATAAATGGTTCAAATAGTTTAATAAGTTCGGTGAGTCACGCATGAGTCACTAAGTGACAGCTCTTAGACTAAGACTCGCAAACATATTTGGACTGAGAATCCGAAGGACGTTGGGACTGTAACGTACCATAGAACTAGTAGTTTGAAATGTGCAAAAAATCCATAAAATTTATAGAATCGGAGGCTTGTATTAGGACTTCCAGTTCAACGGCACCAGAATATGGTTAAGAGGTGTATGCTGCACACATGCCCGCCGCAATTAGATTGTAGTGCAAAGATACACGCGCGTACGCTAGCGGGCTTAGAAACGTCTATGGCGCTTAATTAAATTTTATTTGTTTGTACGAAATTTTTTGACAAATTGTGGTATCCATCTCCTTAGAAGAAGCTGGTTGATAACTTTGCAAAACAAGTGAACAGATTTGGCACAAACATTGGGCTAGGAAGGCTGGTTTCACAGAGATAGTGTTGTTTAGGGAAATGCCTCGCATTGTATGCCGGCCGCTGTGCCTTTCATGGAAGACAGGGAGTTTGTAACCAACAGAGTTTAGTTTTCAGAAACAAGTAAACAAATTTAATAAAATTGTTGCCATAACTCTTACCATAAAGAGGTGTTCTCCTGTTAATTTGATTGCGGTGACAGCTTTTTATTTTTAAAAGTCCTAGTCATTGAGAGTTTTTTTTGAACAATGGAATGTTTTACACAATTTGTAACATTTAACCGTACTTATGTGAAACCTTGAAAATTTCAAAGGCAGTCTAATTTTTTCTGAAAATATTCAAGCACACTCAAGGTTTATGTTGGGCATGGAACTCAATGTTTTGGTGGTTGTCATAGCCAACATGATTGACCCTTCGAAGACCATGGATAATTTCAGGAAAAAATTGTTTTACCACATTCTTTTTTCTTTAGTATATTGGAAAATACCTTATTAGACTACGTATATGATAAGTGCATCGGCTTTTACCGCGCAATCTCGAAATGGATCAGTCATTTTCGACTTATCTAAACAGATATTTCCACCGTTGCAGCAGGCGTCTCACCAAAACAGCAAAGAAATTTGTCACAGATAGTAAGTTTAGTGGATTGTTTTACGACAGTACACACTGTACCGAGCACTTGGTGAGGCTCCATATTCATCGGCATAGTGTCTCCTCAATAATGCTATGGGAACAGTGTATAAGTTAATGAGGAGAACAAATAGACAGTACAATAAATTGACCCGTACTTCGAAGTTTTGGCCCAAATTCAGTGGTCCGAGAATGTTTGTTGAACGCACGTAATACATTTTTTCTGGAACTAGCGGAGATACGGTAAACTATTGGCAGGCCATCAGACTGGGTATGGCAGTCGCGGTACCCTCAATGCGGTGTAGTAGTAAAGTTTTTGGACAGCTCCGTACGTGAACGTTTTGCTTGAGTTAGTTAAAATATGGAGGATGGTTAAAATTGGTGAAGTAACGGATATTCTTTGGTACACTGAGGACGCCGCATGGTTTATTGCCGCCATTCAAAAGTTGCAATAAGGCAGTTGTATCTACAGTTGGGACTCGAAATTGGGAGTGGGGTCAGAAAGATCTGGTAGAGAGCGCTAGGATCTAAGTTGTACTGAAGCCCAAAATACCAGACAGATAAGAGTGGTTAATTTTTCTCACTAATGCAATGAAGTGATACTACTCGATTTCAAAAATGATAACCGATGTTTAAATAGAAATAATAATGAATGGTGATATGCGGTTATTGCAAACTGGTGAAATCACATGAATATGAGAGAGGCGCATTATCTAACTTGTGCTATTTTTGGATATATATGGATGTATAATCGTCCATGAAGTTGGCTAGAAATGGCAAATGAATGTAGAAATGATTCATAGAAAACAGTGGTTTGTAAGTAGACATTTGCGAAAGCAGGGCTCTTTTCGTCCAACCATGTGAAGGGTGGAAGAGAGCCAGAGGCGGCCAAACAATGACTTGGCAGCGAAGTGTGAAAGCCATTACCAGCAAACTCAGCTGCGCTGGTAATTGCCATCTTCCTGGATGGGGACCCCGAGATGGGCTACATCAATGGCTAGAGACATTATCAGACATGGCCCAGTCGCGCCCTCAATGGCGCTCGTGCATCAAAGCCATTGCCTTCAATGCATAGCTTCTTTTCCAACCCCCCCCCACTTGACAGCCCACTGACAGTGTTGGATTTATGCACTAATTTACCAGCTCGCGCGTGCAATCTGCAGCTACCTCCTCCCCCAAATCATCGGTGAACGAAACTGCGACAGCTACAACCACTGTACGACGAGTACGCGGTTCTTACTTACACCTGTGTGTTTAGGTCAGAGCCATCACAGCAGTTTTGGATCGGTTCACTAACGCTTATTCAGAAAGTAAGCGAGGGGGCTGCGATGGAAGACAAACTATCCATTAGGAACTACGGTGAACGGTAGTATACTGACTTGAGGATAGGAAAAGCTGGCTGATAGTACAGGCTGCGCGGAAATAGGTGTTAATTAATTCTGTATGTTGCGTGAGTCTAGAGAAAGTGGCATCTCAAATCACTCAGAGCCTCAGGTAAGCGCGAAGTGCGTGATCGAGTTGCAGGTTTGAACAGTGAGGAAAACTCAGCATGGACAGAGGTAAAGGCTATGCAAATCGGATACCTCAGGGTCGTCACAGAGTATGCATTTATGATTCCCTGTTAACCTGAGAGCGCTCTTGTTTGGGATTCATGAAAGAAAATTTCGCAATATTTACCACGACTGAGACGCAATTAGGCCAGCAATACTAGCTTCCAAAAGACTTTTTCGAACATATAAAACGGATCAAATTGTGTTTTTCATTTCAGATTCCTCTTCCAGTGCAACTGATTTACGGAGAAGAAACGGAGGTACTACTCCCTACACGCTTACAGGTGTANGTATTAAATGATGAAAACAAAAATCACGAATTGAGCTTTGATAATTCCCAGACGCGGGATTAGCAATGCGACAGTGCGTACATTCATCATACTGACCAGACCCTTCTAATAAGTTGCATCTGACGAATATTATAAAATCAAACGTTATCCAAGTACCGATCTAGTGTAACTTAAATGTGAAATCCTGGTAACCTTATCTTATACATAAATATTACAGCGGACTTTTTGAAACATGCTATAGTTTGACTGCAAGCTCTTTGGGAAGTCGATTCATGCACAAGCCAAACTGAACCAAATGATTGGCTGGTCCTAGTTAGGTTGTCCATACCGAAACATACAGCCACTGCATACGAGGCTCAGCTGCTCAACAGAAATTTGCACAGAGGGCCGCCTGTGGCTTGGTGGCCGAGCAGGATGTCCTTGGGAGCGGCCCTGATGGTTCACAGTTCAAGTCCAGGAGACTTCGCTCAACACCTTTTCGACTTCCCCGGTGAACACGTTACTTCATAGGATGCTACTGTTTTTGCTGAGTCATATGTAGCACTAAAATATGATTCACCAAGATCAAAGCAACCTAACGTTCCGAGTGCGAGGTCTTGACTATGGTTACATATCCATGACTATAGTTAAGTTTAGATTGAGATTTCCGAAAACAAAAATGTCGAGTTCCTCCCAAGCTTAAATTGGAAGAAATGATTTGGGTAGTCAGAAAAAGGGTGTGTGAAGAAAGGCAGTTCGATGGATACGTTAAAGTTCGCGGATACATTCTGTGATGTTGAGATTTTTTATTTTGTGGCACATATTTCACGCGAAGAAGCGGAGGTTTCCCGCAACAAATTATTAAAATTGTTCCATGCTAGCTTCAACCATTTAACTGGTTTTTTCTTGGCTTGTGCATAACTAACCAATCAGAATGCTGTCTTGTGCAAGAATCGCATGCCCGCTCTTTGCCATTAACTAGTATTGTAGCGTGGGATATCAAGAAGTCAGCGGTATTCGACGTTCGAGAGGACGGCACACGTCAGTTCTGAAATGTGCAGATATACGGACTGGTATTAATGAATCCACACAGTATACACAGCACACATGCGCACAGGTCGGGTGGTACAGGGAAGAAGACCGGAGTGTAGCAACAACGCACGTGTATTAACCCGAACCGAAATCGGAAGGAGAGGGGTGTACAAGGTTGGGTCAAGGTAAGTTAGGGGGTGTACAAGCGGGATACTCTTCCCTGTCCAGGGCCCGTGGTGATTCGTCCGTGGTACCTGCAATGGGGGAAGAGAGAAAGGGAGGGGCACGTATAAGGTCATATGAGAAACGGGCAAGCAGATACATTCGAGTTCCAAATGCGTTACATTGCCCCCTCCCGAGTATGAGCACTGCCCTCAGTGCTCAGAAGGAGTGTTCGTGCCGAATGTACTGATCTCAACAGTATGGCTGACAGGTGGGAGATAGGAGGATGTGGACGGCTGGGTGCCCGGACGGGGGGAAGGGTAGGGCTTCAACTGATTGTAATGACACACTGTACATCCATATGTGGCTTAGAAAGGGTCACGAATGACATAGGTGTTGTTTAATCTCTTAATAACGCCAACATAAGGTCCCTGCCACATGTGATGGAATTTTGCGGGCGCACCCGGTGGTGGTTTCTGCCGGTGTGGAAGCACAAAGTCGCCTAATTCGTACAGAGGTCCGCGTGATTTGCGGTCGTACACAGTTTTCTGGTGTTGCTGTGCATGC